CAGAGAGGAAAGCAGATAACTAATGAAAGAGCAATAAGCCGTCGCTCAGTCTGATGCAATCACAACATATTGTTTGCGACCTTGCTTCAAGAAGGTCTTTAATAATTACCGACACGGCTGTCTTGATAAAAATCAAAGAACACCTCTATAATATGCTGTTATTTGAATCTCACTCAACGTAGAGTCTGGACAATGTCTTGCGAGCTATCACTGCAATGATAGATGAAGGCGTCCGACGCCGTTCTGACCTGATATATTAACAAAGGTTTACAAGGGCATTCAACAACATATGTAGGTTTGCCCTTATTGCTGACCTTACAATGCACTTAGTATCCTGTACTTGAATAATGCTGTCTCGGCTCCTCAGCGCAATTTATTCCAACTAATGACCATCAAGAGCCCATAAATCAGCATTAGGTTCCTTTAAACTGAGCTGGTGACTCGGGCATAGATAGAGACCGCCGTCTGATGCCTAACCTTGTATTGGCACCTCTATTGATTTTAATTAGTCTAATTAGTTCATTATTTCAGAAATCAAACGGAGCATTTATTACACAGAGCTTTACCCCAGTGACATAGCTTTACAGACGAATATGGTAATGAAGCTGATCAATTATCACTCAAAAGGAAGTCATTAACAACCGAATTAACATAACCTCCAATAGTGACCTGGAAGACCCTTCCCCGGGCAGCGAGTCATCACTCCTGATGCAGCTTGACGGGTTCGGTTTTCTTCAATTAGTGCACACACCAGGCTACTGTGCTGTGATTTCACAAACTCACCTCTTCCAGCCTGAGCTCTGTTTATCATCCAGCAAAGCACACTGACAAAAGGAAGCAGAGTGTTATTATCCTCTAACCCCACAATGGGGTTGCACTGAAGCGGGCACACCGACTCTTGTTACGACCGATGCCGCCCCATGGGCACAGCTGGCGCAGAGGCTGACTTGTCACGGCTAAAGGTACAGCAGCAGGATCTCGGCATGGGCACGTACACAGGAGACTATGCTGAACCTGTCAAGAACAAGCCCCACACAGCTAATGCATTTTAGATCTGTGGTTCTCGAGTGGGGTTTTTTTTTTTTGTCATGTAGCAGAATTTACATTAGACATCCAACACAAAAATTATGTTATCCAATACTATTATTTTAATTGATTTAATATTAATATATATATATATATATACAAGTTTTTAATTTATTAATGTATTATATATACAAGTATTTAATTGGTATATATATATATATATATATATATATATATGTTAATATTAATATTCTTAATACTTGTTAATATTAATACATTTCATGATCTTAAGGATTTTATTTATATATATATTTATTTACAAGTATTTAATTAATTATTTAAATGTAATTAAATATATATATATATATATATTTTTTTTTTTTACATTTAAACATTTTATTAAATAGTTGTAAATATATATATATATATATATATATATATATACACACAAGTATGTATTATATATACAAGTATTTAATTTATATATATTTACAAGTATTTAATAAAAAAATATAATATATATATATTTAATTACATTTAAATAATTAATTAAATACTTGTAAATATATATATATATGTGTATATATATATATATATATATATATATATCAAATCCTTAAGATCCTGAAATGTATTAATATTAACAAGAACAGAACTGCAGAGGACCAGTGTGGAAGTGTTGAAGAGACACAACCTGTCTGTCAAATTTAATTGGAAAGCATAGCCTTACTTTTCTTTTATTAATAATGCAAAATTATTTTCTAGCATAATTTTATATGCTAAATATGTACAATCATCTGGTTAGTTTGCTATTTGCATTTTGTTTTTCCTGGTGTCTGCAATCAGAACAGACCTTTACCCATTTTTATACAGTAGACCTGCAGTACATGAGTATTTACTAACCTTCTACGACACCTCACCGATGTTCTGCATTCACACATGATGTGATAAACGGAGAAGGGAGATGAAGAGGAGGAGGAGGCATATTATGCAGATCAAAGGCAGGACTGTGGAAAGGAGAGAGGTTTGATTAGAAAGAGGTATTGGAGGTGCTCGGGATGGAGAGGAGGAGGGAGCCGGGTCTTGTCGACCGCGGCCTGAGGGCCCCAGAGGAGCCACGAGGTCAAGTCGAACCCACTGAGTCGCATCCGTGTGGCAGGCCTGGAAATGAGTCCCATGCCGGCGTACTGGATCAAAGCCCGGCTCCGTTGATCCCTCATGCCCAAAGGCCACCAGTCAAGGTGAAGCCAGAATTAAAAAATCCTGAGCTCAAGGGCGGAAAATGAGTTTTGAAAAATGAATGAGGGACTGTCCAATGACTTTGGGGTGAGGGAGAAAATGGAAAGCGAGCAACTGAGTGAGCGAGAGAATGAGGCAAGGGAATATAGGCATGTGACTCACATCCAGGCTGAGCATGTGTTGAGCGCGATGGATCACTTATGCGAGGGGTCTAATGTCGGTTTTCAGCTCCCGGATCTCAGCTCGCAGACAGCTACTGTCCTCCTGCAGGCATGTCCGCTGATGGTCCAAATCCTGCCGAAATCACAAAGGCAACATCTCCAACCCCTCCACACTGCTGCAAATCCAATCTGTCTAAACGAACACTTTAGCTTGAGCTTTGATATAAGCTTTAGAACATCTGCTCCAGGTTGGATGGAGGAGACCTTTTGGCCATATAAGCTTATCATAAGGTTGCTGTGGTTGATTAAGCTTAGGTATGCAGCATGCTGATAAAACACAACAACATGGCTATAAATTAAAGTAATTACAAGAGCTCATATGGATAAATCTGAAACACAACGTGCGTCTTTTAATCATGTCTACGCATAAACTGATGGCAATAAGCAGCTGTACTTTGAAAAGACATTACTTTAAAACAATTACAAACCTACAAAATGGGATAATATATCTGGTTATATATTGCAACCATTCAATCAGTGCATTTGGAGTTCATATTACCGGGTCCGAAGCATTCTTTACATTGCATGAGGCAAATAAGCAGCTTTTAATGCTCTGAATCTATTCAATTGCCAATTATGTACATTAGAACAATGGTTGCAGTCAAGAGACAACAGCATAATATGCCTCTGGGACAGCAGAGATGCAGTCTTCAATCTAATTCTGCTGATTCTTGAAAACATAGACGAATAGAAATGGAGTTCATATGCTCGAGCATCAATATTGTGTGGTCTAGCTAATGAACTCCTCTGTAAACTGAGAAGCGTGTATTTTTCTCTGCATTTTAGAGGTAATTTGAAGTGATAACAGCTAATATTGACTTATTAGCCAAATGCATGTTATTTGTTGCATGAGTCGTAGGAAAAAGGCATAACTTATAACTCACCAACATTTAAACTAAATTATCAATCTCAGGGAGAATGGCTTTAGTTTCAGTGGCATCAATGACCATACAGGGAGGTGAATAATTTACAATACATACTGATGAATTATTAAAATATCTATTAGTGGCGCACATACTAAATAGCAGTTAGGAAGGTAATGCGAATGTTCACCTAGAGAGTTACAGATCATGTTGTCCCTGTAATAGCAGAAATGATAAGTAATCTTAATGTGAACATGATCTGTCTCTTGTGGAAAATGGCTAGCTGTCCCTAATTTCTACAAGTATAACATTGGTGAAGCTATGAATTGTGGAATCTGAACTTTTAACAGCTAACCTTCAACAATAAACACAATATGTGAATCCATAAAAGTTGAAGAATCCACAAGTGATTATTTATCTTCATGAAAACCTACACCTTGAGGACATTGTCATATTATAAGAGTGTATAATATTATATATTATAATATATAATGTCATATTATGAGAGTGTGAAAATTCTCTTGTACCTAATATACATGGTGCAGGCTAATAGTTCTCAAATGCTTGCAATCATATCATTCTCTATTGGGCGCACTGACAGCTGATTGGTTCTTTCTGTATCAGTAGCCAATGAGCTTGCTTGCTCAACCTTCAAATACTTGGTTAGCATTTGCCTAAACCGTGCAGCGCGCCTTCCCCAGATCCACCTGTATCTGCTACGGTAATTCATGTACGGCTACGCTATATTGTACAGCAGCAACATGTCTACTTGCTCACAGCAGCGTGTCATATATATAGCCTATGTATTGGCAGTAGCAAGTCCCGTACTAACTCTGCAGCAGCAATAACAGCAGCAGTGTAGCAAATCTATTCCGCCAAGACCAAATATAGGCCTATCAACATTGTCATACCCATTACCATGGCAAACTTTTTTTACAGTCTATGTGGCAAACACTGAGAAAAAAATGACACTCAAGAGTTGTCATGAAAAAAATGGATGCTGCCTTAATTGCATTAAATATTTTTTAATGCATTATAGCCTACTGAAAAAAATAATCGCATGGATTAACGCGTTAATTTTGCCAGTACTAATATACAGTATATATATTAGTTGTGATTAGTTATTTTTTCTATATGTAAATATGCTATATTATATATGCTATATATATATATATATATATATATATATACACACACACAGAGAGACACAAATACACACTTTCCAGATAACAAAAAAACGGCATTTCAGTAAATAGAAAATAGACGTTCGTCCCCTCTTTGCTGTTCATACATTACATTGCGAAAATTAAAAACGTGCGGGGACGGGGAGAGCATTTAACAAAACAGTTATTACGATGTTTTCTCAAGCAAAATATAACGTAAAAACTAAAGCAAATGCTTTACATTAATGTAAACCCTTGTTATTAAGGCGTATGAATGCTCATTTCTATCTTCGCTTCCTCCCTTATCCCTCTGTTCAGTTGCAAACAGTCTCTCCGTGCCCGAATGCATGCTGTTCAATAGAGCCCGCCCCTGCTTGATAGCGATTGGTTAAAACATACTGTAGACCAACGCTATCGATTTTGATTGGATGGGTTATTGTCAGACGCAAACGCATGAAGACTTGCGTGAAGCTACGCCTCTCCCACATGCATAGCACGATGCGATTCATGTTTGCCTCGCTCAATCAGATATTACGATTGGATGCATGTGATCAAGGGTGCAGAGAAAATGCAATTTGCAATTGGCTCATGTGCTTCAAGGAGGGGTTAATCGAGATAACCCGGAAAAGAAGGAACAGCAGCCAGCAGCGCCTCTCAGTTCCGAGTCCGACAGTAGACTGTCAGTCTTATCATGGGTAATTATACTAAATTTATTTGCTCTAGTCAAATCTCACTTAACCAGACATTGTGACAACACATTCTATATCAAGTTGCATTTAGTTTGGTAAAGAACAGGGCATTGTTTCCTCTCCTGTCTGTCTAATATTAGATTGGTGCGTGTTATCAATGCATAATACATGCATTAAGTGTACACGGTCGACAAAACAACCGATACTATACTATTTTAGTGTTGTTATGTTGACGTACTTAGCCAAGTTGCATCACGTTTATGTTTTAAGCATTTTAAATGGCTCCATATCAACAACAATAACGTTACTACTACTAGCCTACCATAATAATAATAATACAGTAACAACATTACTATATTTAATATATTTATTATGACAAACTGTGATTCTGATGTTATAATTAATAGTTACTTTTTTAGATCATTATTCATTAAATCCTCAAACACCACAACATCACAGATCATTTCGTGTTTCTAGTAATTTCCAGTTCATTTATATTTGGGACTGGACCAGATGTGTTGATGTCAGACTGGGGAGTTCTCTACTTTGTAATTAGTTTGTGCATTTCACCAATTTGATCCATTCAGGACTATTTGCGCACCTAGACATTATCTTGTTGAGTTTATATTGACTTATTTACGGTTTCCGTTTTCAGTTATCGAGGTAACCTAACAATCCGGTACTGGTTACTTGGCACCACTGTCATGGATAATAATAATAATTAATCAACTACATTTAAATGAGATATAAATTAGGAATTTTAGTAATAACAATAACTTTAACTAGAGTGTATAATATGAAATGATGGTTCTCATACAAGTTTTGTGTGAAGTTTTAGTGTGATCAGAAATGCCGTCATGCACAGAATTAGGACAGCTGATTGCTGTGGATTTGATTGAGCTGTAAGTGGCCCATAGCACACTTAACATAATGAATGGAGTTAAAGTCAGACTGCAGTATGATCTCAGCCCAGGTCAAAAGGTTGCCTATAGATTTGTGCCAGTGTTGCATTTAAATGGATTAAGTTTTAAAATGCAGACTATATTGTTGGGTTGTTTTGCAGATGTGTTTGCAACCGAGCTTTAGTCTTTCTTCCATTTGTGGGTAAAATGTTTTCCATATTGCTGCTTCCATGTAAACAGGGAGGCTTTTAATATTACATTACATGACCATGCTAAGCCAAATCTGGATGAGGGTGAGAAGAAGAACAATTCTCGTACATAAACATGATTTTGAGGCAGGGTTTCATGATGTGGTGTCATGGAATAAGGATGGTGTGTTTGCTGGAGCTGCTTCTAATGTTTTTTTTTTTTTTTTTAAATAGAAGACAAAAAATTATGCAAATACATCATCTCATAAAGGTGATGAAAAATTGCAGGACAAATGTATTGAAGCAAAGATCTTTTATGTGGACACAGCAAAGCCTGACTGCCCTCTGTACACCATAATATGCATCTTCACAATTTTCTCATTTATTAACTGTTCTCTTCAGTCGTTCCTGCTGCCTCAGCCTTTAAATGTTTCATGAGTTTTTAAGCTTTTTTTCTGCCTCACTCTATACTTAAAGCTTTAAATCTTCCACCTTCATGCTCACAAAATCAATTAATTCTTTTAAATAATTTACATTCTGTGCAAACAAGATTTAGCAAAAGCATATCTGTGTGTCAGACCTATAGCTGCTTTAAAAGACATTTCTTAGACATTAAGTTGTGTTAGATTGTGGCTCTTGCGATCCATTGGTAATTAGAGAAATGGGTCAGTCTGATGAGGCATTAGGACCAGACCTTGAACCCCAAGTGCTTTTGCAGACATTCATATTTTATGATACAGACGTAGAACAATTAGAACAGTCACAGGATGGGTATTTTAGCAGTCCTGTAATCCCATTTCAGGATGACATCACCTTTAAAATTCAGAAACTGACATACCCATCAGTGGTCATAATAAAACGGATACTTCTGGGACAGAGTTAAAAGTTGAATGCTAAACAAGGAGACTGGCTAATTCTTCTGCCAGCTGAAAATGGCGCCAGAGCTCTGTGACCTTAATCGCGCAAATGATTATATAAAGGAAGCAAAGGTTTAAGAGTGACACCTCATCTGCCACTGGAAATACAAAGTGGCAACTAGCTTTTTGTAAGTTAAAACTTTAAGTGAAGGATAATAAAACCCCTCTGACATGTGATTTTAATTTTTAAAAAGGCACTGAAATATTATATATACAGTTTATGTATGTATATCATCAAATATATGTACATGTCCAAACAAAAGTTTGTGGTCTGTAAGATTTTTGTAAATAAATTAATACTTTTACTAAGCACAAATGCTTTAAATTGATCAAAAGTAAAAGTAAAAAGACGTATAATCCTACAAAAGACTTCTATTCAAATAAATGTGGTTCAAATGAAAGAAAGTGTATGACATTTTTTTTATCATGGTTTCCACAAAAAAAAAATATTTAGCAGCACAACGGTTTTCAACATTGATAAAAAAAGAAGAAATGTTTCTTGAGCACTAATTCAGCATAATAAAATGATTTCTGAATGTGACTAAAAACTGGAGAATATCTGAAATTCGGCCTTTGCCATCACACATTAACATAAAAAAACAGTTATTTTAAATTGTAATAACATTTCACAATATTACAGTTTTTACTGTATTTTGATCAAATAAATGCAGCTTTGGTGAGCATAAGAGACTTCTTTCAAAAACATAAAAAAAAATCTTATATAATAAAAGTAAAAGTGTGTTGATTTTTTTTAATTCTCTGACTTGCTGCAAAGGCAGACAGAATGCCAAAAGCAAGGTCAAGTAACCACAGGCCTCATAAAAAATCTTCAGATTCCAAATTGTCCAGTCGCTGCAGGAATCTCATGGCCTACCGCGTTGTAATGCTAAGCCCAAGGTGACTCTGTGACCCAGCTTATCAGTTGCAGAACTGCAGGCCTGAGCCTCCAGTGGGCTGCCTCAGGAGAACATGTTTTATAGCCCGTGCCGGTGTCAGGCATTTGTCATTTAAGGATGCTTGTCAGGACCTTGACTTGGCTGATATAACCTTATATGCGTGTTCTCCATCCATTTTGCAGCCAGAAGATGGGCTCCATTTCCTAGAAAATTCAACTTATTTGTTGGAGTAGGGTTGATTGCGGGTCATAAATAACAAAGTAAATATATTATATTGATTATAATATATAACTAATGAGAAAATCAGTTTACATTCAGACTGATATTGTTTTAGTTAGGCCACGTTCTCATTGGCTATTTGTCACGGATGTTTTTTTTCTATTGCACTGTAAACGTGTATGAATCACTGCGCTCCATGTAGGCCAGGTCTTCTGATTACAACAGAGGTAAACACAGCCATTGATTAGGAATTTGGCCGATTACATAAGAAGCATAGATTTTCAGCTCTCCGGTTAAAGCCCTGTACATTCAAATGCTTAATTTTTATAGGCAGTGCACATTGACAAAAGTGTCTAGTTGTTATATATTTGGCAAGTACTGTGAGTCTGAGAGAACATGTCAATAGTAATCCTGATATTGATAGCAGTCCTATAAGAGATGTTACTTGCCCGAGCTAACATCTATGTGATCCTCTAAATCATAATTACATTACTATTGACAGGCCCTTGACAATAGTCACATTACTATTGATAGGTTGCTGTCAATATTATGTTCTCAAATAAAACATATTCATTCATAACTTGTAAACTGTTCAATAAAAGCCTATGACGAGAACATGGAAAAGCAGTATCCCCAGAGTGGCCTGCCGCAATGATTTGTCTCACCTGGGCGAGTGCCGCCGTGCAGTGAAGTTTTTTTTTTTTTTTCGTTTAGCTGAGAAACTGTTGAGCTGGTCTGTAAACCTGACACATTTGAAACATAATCAGTGGCCCAAAAGTGGCAGTTTTTTTATTACACAATAAACGTAACTACAGTTTCCAACATCTGTTTCAAGCAGATAATTTTTCAACTGATTCATGAACATCTTGCATCTTTTTTTTATTTTCCATTTCAGTTTCATTCCTAAATGGGTGAAGGTTTTAGGCACAGATGAACCTAAAGTATTGGAAAAAAGAGTTGGGCATGTTTTCAACAATTTTTATAAGCCAATTTATTGCAGATATTGTCCAAATCCAGTCCTAAGCTAAGAGGTGGTCACCACAGCTCCTGGCTCTCATTTTTTTACCATTGCGTTTAAAGAGATAAACTCAGCCCGATACAAACGCATTCCATGAAAAATTGCCAAACGTCACAGTTCTTAGATCCCTTATAAAAAGCCGTCAAAGTAAAGTAGTTCCACATAGCGGATGTTTACTGCCTTTCCAAGCCTGTGCTGTTGGGATAATCTCCTGTGATGTGATTTGTCCTCAGACTGAATCTCGAGAGGGAACAGCGTAAGACCTCCTGTGCCTCTGCCCTGCACAGCTAAAAGGGAATTTAGGATGGGTTTTACATGTGAAAAGTGATTTCAACTCAAATGCAAAAATGCATAACCATTTGCTTCTTCTGCTTGTAGCTGGAGCTGGAGGTGACGAGCCTTTCGCCAAGGCCAGCCCAAGCCCTTTATCTCGGGTTTTGAGAATCAGTCAGCTGGATGCTTTTGAACTGGATGGTGCACTGGAACAGCTTGTTTGGTCACAGTTCACCCAATGTTTCCAGCATTTCAAGCCCGGGCTTTTAACCCCTGTGGAACCAGAACTCAAGGCCCTTCTCCAGCTCCTCCTGTGGAGGTTCACAGTCTACTCCAACAGCGCCACCGTGGGCCAGTCACTGCTCAACATCCGGTATAAGAACACTCTGATCCCAGGAGAGAAGTACCGGCCCATGAGCCGACCACAGAAGTTTTGGTTCGCTCTGCTGACAGTAGGTGAAAAGTGGTTGAGGGAACGCTCCAATAGCTTGTTCCTCAACCACCCTGCAGAGTCCAAGGCACGCAAGGCCCGCAAGATACTCACCATCTTGACGGGCCTCACCAAAGTGGCCAGCCTGGTCAACTTCCTGCTTTTCCTTCAAAGGGGAACCTATCCGACCCTTACCGAAAGGTTGCTGGGAGTGCAGCCCGTCTTCAGTCGACCCCAGGGCCCACGAGACATCAACTTCCAGTTCTTGAACCGGGAGCTATTGTGGCACGGCTTTGCGGAGTTCCTCATCTTCCTGCTGCCTCTCGTAAATGTGTGGAAGCTGAAGGCCAGTGTCACCGCTCTGTTCTCCCCTCTGAATGACCTGAGGGGAACGAAGGGTTCGGATGACACTTACTGCACCGAGTGCGCGGTCTGCGGGGAGTGGCCCACAATGCCCCATTCCATCGGCTGCAACCACGTGTTCTGCTACTACTGCCTCAAGAGCCACACAATCGCTGATGTCTGCTTTACCTGCCCCACATGTGCCACCAAGGCGGGAACTATAGAGCCAGTCAGGATTCACATAGGAACGGAGCTGCATCAGAGTTGAGACTGTTCCTCAAACAGCCTGCTGATTAACTTGAGATACACAGACTGCAGTTTGAGTTTATCACAGAGATTGGTTGATGAAAGCATATGGCTTATGCTTTTTTTTTTTCTTCTTCCTGAAACGAGAGCATTTGTTGCCATGAATCATGCAGAATTTTGTACAAAGAGACAAACTTAATGATGTAAAATTCTAAAACAACATCATTTGTGTCTAATTTATTCGGCCTCATTAAAGTTTGATAGAGATTGTGTATCAGAGGTCCACTTTTCTGCATTCTCGGATTGAGCGCCGAGCAAATGAATAAACATCAAAACAAGCCTTTGCTCAACTGCCTGCACGATCCAATTCCCCTCATCCCCTATGAAGAGAGAAATTTGCACAAGATCAAGGAGAGGCCATGATAGCACCAGGGGGTAGTTGACTTGGATGCAGATTGACAGACATCCCGTCATAATCTCCATGGCCCTTCTTAATACGCCAGTAAACTGTAACAAACCAGAGTAGAACCGATGCGAGTTTTCGGGCATATTATGCTTTAAGCCTAATAATGACTGCAAAGATGGGTATTTATTCAGCTGTTAACTTTCTCCAGTGAGCCATGCCTCAGGCCAAAACACATCCAAATAGACTCAGACCTGCTGGAAACTCGCACTTTCTCCCCCCAGACCACATTGCCTTAATTGCCCATTGTGAAGGCAATCAGTCACTTCTCTGGACACGAGGGGTCTAGTGGTTTACAAGATTTTGTCTTTTTTTTTTTTGTAAATCGCTGCTCTCAAGTTTGCTGTGACAAAGAATTAAAAATTGGGACATGGCACACCGGTCTGCCCTCATGTGGGTTCATTGACATTATTATGCGTATAGACGAATACACAGGACCACCAAGAAGTACAGCTCTCACTATAAGCAGAACTATCCAAGTTTGCTTGTGCACTGGGTTAGCAATGTTAAAAAGATGTTTAATGTGCAACAGCGAATGTTTATACCCTTTGTTTTGTTTCAGAGGATTAAAGGAATTTGCCGCCACTGTTCTGGAAATGTTCAGTAATGGTTGCCAATTTACAATATACACAACATATGGTTCTGGTGTTTTTCACATAGATCGGGTCCAGAGAACATCTGTCCTTCAAAATACATTTGTTTAATGACTTCAAAAGCATCCAAATATAATCTCGTAAAACACTTCATACCAGACATGATAGATTATTGTATTGTATATTGATGTAGTTGCAACAAATGAGATTAGATTTTTACATTTGCTTTTTGTTAAACTATTAATATAGTTGCTTTATATAGATATTTTTTCCAAGCAATATATATATATATATATATATATATATATATATATATATATATTTAGGGCTGTGCAACGATTAATTAAAGCAATTTTTTGCATTTAACTCGCTGTGAAGATGTTCAATTGTTTGAAAAACTTTGTAAAATACACTATATATAAAAAATTAGGGCTGTGCAACGATTAATCGGATCCAAAATAAAAGTTTGTGTACATAATATATGTGTGTGTACTGTATATTATTATTTCGTATATATAAATACACACACGTACATGTATATATTTAAGAAAAATGTGTTATATGATATATAATGTATATATAATATAAATTATGCATAAATATACAGTATATACATGCAAATATTTCTTAAATATATACCTGCATATGTGTGTATTTATACAAAATAATTATACTCAGTACACATATTAAACAAACCTTTATTTTGGATGCGATTAATCGTTGCGCAACCCTATTTTTTTATATATACAGAATAGTGTATTTTACAAAGTTTTGCAAAGAAATCCAACAAAAATTCCTTGTAACACATCTAAAAAGTCGGCCCTCATTTTGCACTTTAGCTTTTCCAAATCTCATTTACTCTCAGGGTTGCACTGTCTCCAATCAGCAATAAAATCTGCAGGCTTTGACACCATTTACTTCGGCGATTGCCCACGTTTTTTTTTTTACATACACGTTGGGTGTTACAGTAGACAAGGCCAGTTTCACACTTTGATGAGTGATCCTGCTCATTACAATCGACACATTCTTGATCCTGTGATGTCGGGCATTGAGTTCTCTGATTAACAGGTTTGAATTTAAAGAGCTAGACCGTAATGCTTGTACTTACCCTTTGCTGCCATTTTTTGCCTAATTAAATAGTAGTATATAGCATACCAACAGACGTATTCTATTTTATATCTGGGTTTAAATACAGCGGCTGTTTGGGAGTTTGTTTTTGTGTGTGTTCTAGGCTGTGAAAGGCAAAAGTCATTAAAACAAATAAAACATCTGAGATAAAATACTTCAAGCAGTTCATTGCCATGTGTTGCTATTCGCTCTAGGCTCCTAACTAAATGTTATCACCTAAAGTTCATGGTTAAAAAGCAAATCTAGCACAGCTACCGGACAAACTTGTCAACGGTGGCCAATTATCTGTGTTTCTTCACTGTTGGAAGGGCATTTGCACTCTAAACCGGGAATATGGGGAATCAATGAGACTAAAAAAAAAGATAGATTTCTTGACACCCACTGATTTCTCAACATAAATGGTTCACTTCGGACCAGCGGAACAAACTGTGATCGGTATCTCTTGCTATAATTGACCCAGTTTCTCGCTACAGTCAAACTTCCAAACACATTGCAGAATACATTTATTTACATAATTGCTTTAAATGCATTGATTTATTACCATAAAGCCTGCATATGGACCGTGTTTTTTGGCACTTTTGGCCTTATGGACCATGAGAAATGAAAATATATAGCCTACTTTTTAAACTATGATAAAATGGTAACACTTTACAATAAGGTACATTAGTTAACATGAACTAATTATGAACTGCACTTCTACAGCATTTATAAATATTTGTTAATGTTTATTTCAACATTTACTAATACATTATTAAAATCAAAAGTTGTATTTGTTAACATTAGTTAATGCACTGTGAACTAACATGAACAAACAAAGAACAGCTCGATTTGTATTAACTAACGTTAAGTAAGGGAGAATGTACATCCAGCCCAACCCGATCACACTAAATGCGTCTCTATAGCACGCAGTGTGTTTTTTCGTGTAATTTATACGCGAAAATGAGTTTTTACGTGCATAGGATACGCATGGGTTGGTTAGGGTAGGTTTAGTAGTGGTGTGGGGTGCGTGTGTATGTTTGGGTAGAATTAGTGGTGTGGGGTGCGTGTATTACACGCAAATGAACTGCGTATCAAATGCACGCGAAAACTGCGTAGGCCTATCATATGCATGTAAAAACTCATTTTCGCGTATAAATTGCACGATGATACACAATGCGTGCTATAGAGACGCATTTACGTGAGAACAGGCTGTCCAGCCGGTTGTTATCTCAGAATAAACCCTGACAGGGTGATCAGTCAGAGCAGTTGCCAGCACAGCAAGTTCAAACTAGGCGGACATTTAAGGGATACAGTCATACCACTTATTACACAGCATTTCGCTACATAAATAATTATGGGGATAAGAGATAGTGGTTTGAGATCAAACTTTTAAAATCATACCTGTTTGTTATTTTATAATCTAACAATATTCACAAAATTGCAACTTTGTATAAAACAAGAGAAAGTCCACGATACTGGATGACATAATTAAATAACTGTACACAAAAGAGTTTTAATATTTTATTAGCTCACCAAACACAAAACTTCCACGCAGAAAAAACATTCCTAAAGCATATGAGCGGTGTTATCTGTTTTCAGCGGTTGTTATCGGGGAATAACATATACCGCTGAATTGCACGATTGACCAATCAGAATCAAGCATTCCACAGAACAGTGTAATAACAGATTAACAAATACAGTAACAAATGTATTGCTCATGGTTAGTTCATGGTAGCTAATACATTTACTAATGTTAACAAATAAAACCTTATTGTAAAGTGTTACCGAACAAATAATACGTTCCCAATTTTCCCAAATGAAATAACATTTTTTCTATTGATCATTTGCACAAAATTTTGAAATGATTAATCTTTTTTTTTTTTTTTGATTAGATTAGATTAGATTGTAAATATATTTTCTATGATTTTTTTTTTTTTTTTATGACCGAAAGCCTAAATAAATATAATATAATATAAAGGCATGGTTTCCAATTTAAAAGAAAAAGTTGTGTCTATAGTTAAAGAAAGGCCCTTTAACGGACAAGCTCAACGCAATGTCTTCTCACTCTTTCTCACAGGGCCTCTCAATTCCAGGTTGATGCTAATGAATGCAAGTCTGCCACTGACATTATCTGCTGGTAACGTCTGAGGTGGAGGGAATGAGTTTGGCACGGTAAGTGATAGCCTCGCTGACTCCTGTGGAGAACTACAAAGACAGACTGCATGCCTGGAAGGAAAAGCCAATACCTGTGTGCCTCCACAGGCCCTCCGTTCATTGGCTGTGCCGGACTAGAGTGGCTTAAAGAGAGAATGAACGACAACGAGGAATTAAGGGGGATTATGGGCCAGTCTGCGCTGTAATGAGCCCGAGGTGAGGTGGGTTCTAGCCAAAGTCTGAGCAGGCCTCTCATTGATGTCTACTACACACAAAATTGCAAATAATCTGCAGACATCCTTCCAGATGTCCCCTTGAATTTCCTGCGGCTTAAGACAAATCGAAAGTGCTTTGAAAGTTTTGATAATCAAATAGCAAGTTTGATTGAAACCTTGCACATGGAAGAATGTAGCGTGCAGCCATCTAAAGATGTTTAACTTGTGCCCTAATGACAGTCATCCCATCTCAAGGGAATTTTACAGGGATTCAGGGTATACCTTCTCTTTCCAGACAGTAAAATACTGAATTTCAGCATATTAGAATATAGCAATATTTTAGATTTTTTTTTATGTACTGTATTTTCAATACAGAAAAACTTTAATATTGTGAAGTATTTTTAAAATTGATCCCTGTCATGGCAAAGCTGAATTTTCAGCATCATTTCTCCAGTCTTAAGAGTCACATGATCCTTCAGAAATCATTCTAATAAGCTGATTTGATGCTCACTAAACATTTATAATCATTATCATTGAAGAGTTTATTAGTGGGAACCGTTATAGCTTTTTTTTCAGTTATCTTTATAAATAGAAAGTTCAAAATAACAGCCTTTATTTGAAATAAAAAATGTTGGAGATGTATATATACGTGTGTGTGTGTGTGTGTGTGTGTGTGTATATATATATAAATATATACAGTATATACATGCATACAGAATACAGCATATTCAAATGCAACATGACAGTGGCAGAGAAAAGGAACGCAAATTATAGTTTAGACGCTTGCTGGAAATAGGCTGAAACCTCTAATGTGCAAATCAAAGGTGATGACAACATACAGCATACAGATGTTCATTTCAATGCAGCTGGCCAAGGAAATCATTTCCCCCCGTTCCCATGGAAACCATACTGCAAAAGGTGTCTGTCTGTGAACTTCAGCTGGAAATCACAGAACCAGACGTGTCTGCGAAGATTAACCTCAGCAACAGAATTTGTTCTGTTTGCAAATTCCCTGTGAAACATGGAAATACTGATCAGCAGGAGTAGAAGGGAAATTGATTTTCATGCGTGTTATCATTTCTTTTTACAGCAGTAAAGATAGGCAGTGTGAACTTTCTCCTGCTTTGCTGTGTCTGTATTCAATTTGCCTGCATTATTTACTGATTTTTTATTTATTTTTTAAGCTTTTGTGAAACAAAGCTCATATGCATTATTAGAAAATTCCACACATTTTCGTGTTGGAGACCAGGGCACTTCTATTCACCAATGAAATACCTTTCATGCTTTTCCCTCCACCAAAGAGGTCCTTGTCAACCCACCCAAATGAAAGTCAACTCTAAGATATCTTTCAATCTGAGAGCAGGGACTTGTTCTTAAAAGAGTGGTGACACTGCACTTGTATGAGGACGGACTGCCCTCTATATGCCCCGCTGATTGCTTTGCATTCACAACAGCTGTGGCTCCGCAGCAATTTCCAGTCGTGCATTATCTTTTCTGCTCAAACATTTGAAAAGGC